TGTAGCTGGTTGGATGTACCTGGTTGGGTGTAGCTGGTAGGATGTACCTGGTTGAATGTATCTGGTTGGAAGTACCTGGTTGGGTGTACCTGGTTGGGTGTAGCTGGTAGGATGTACCTGGTTGAATGTAGCTGGTTGGATGTACCTGGTTGGGTGTACCTGGTTGAATGTAGCTGGTTGGATGTAGCTGGTTGGACATAGCTGGTTGGGTGTAGCTGGTTGGATGTACCTGGTTGAATGTAGCTGGTTGAATGTAGCTGGTTGGATGTAGCTGGTTGGATGCACTTGGTGGTGTCTGTAAGGCTGTTGGATGGTGGGTTCTGGTGTCAGCGTGGCTCTAATCAGCAGTTGGCAGGCGGAGGAGCTGGTTGGATGTCATTGGTTGGATGTAGCTGGTTGGATGCATTTGGTGGTGTCTGTAAAAGGCTGTTGGATGGTGGGTTCTGGTGTCAGCGTGGCTCTAATCAGCAGTTGGCAGGCGGACGAGCCGGCGGTCTCTCCCCGTGGCGGCACCCTGGGTCGAAAGCCGGTTTGAAGTTTAATGATGCCAGCTGCCAGCTCCGCCAGGCTTTGAGCACTAATGAGCTGGCACTAGAGTTGGACCGGGCCACAGCAGCAGCACCTGGAAATGTAGCACACGTTTCAGGGGGGCGGGGCTCCGCTGGGGCTGCCGGAGAGGGGGAGGCCTGCTGCAGACCCAGGACAGCACCGAGAGGCCTGCGTCTCTTTGAAGAGCGCCCCAATTTCCATATTTCATTACGCACTGCTGACTGACAAGGCCCTGGCAGATGTTCTATTTTCAGCTATTTAAATTTTGACCTGCTTTCCTGCCATGGAGGCAAAAGGGAAAAAAAACAACAGATTTCATCAGGATGATGAGGACTTGGATCTGCTGGTTTCTGTCAGCGCTCTTTGTAAAGCCCAGACCGAACAATGCCATTAATCACACTTTAACTTCCTTTGTTACTCCAGACATGCGCTGACAGTCTGTCCTCGTGTCTTCACTGTCTTCCTCAAGGACGGGACGGCTTGTCTGTTTCAGGGATCAAACCTGGAGGACCTTGTATTTATGAGACGGGTTCTAACCATGCGCTCCGTCCGGTGCTGAATTGGCCCCAAAGTGAGTGATGCGCGCTCCGGAACGCCACATGAAGCACGTTCACACCTCCTCTCCGTCCCTGAGACATCGCAGATGATTAATTCCTCTGGTATTCCTGCTGAAATGGCTCTTAAATCGCAGCATCCATACTCAATCCTTCATGCAAAAATACATTGACAACCCTGACCTTTCTGTGCATCTGCTGCCGATCCACTTTGTCATCCTCAGTGAGCCGGCTCAAGGATCAATATCATTTGGTTGGAATAAAACTTCTACATCAAACTCTCCATGTGCTGTGTGTGTGTGTGTGTGTGTGTGTGTGTGTGTGTGTGTGTGTGTGTGTGTGTGTGTGTGTGTGTGTGTGTGAGCAGCATAAAAAGTGAAACTGATGACCTCTCTTGTTTCAGGAGGTAAAAGAGAGATTAGCTCAGCAGGCAACGACAAAAACAGAAACAAACTTTTTTTCTGGGAGAAAAGGTCACTTTTTTTTCTAAAAACAGATCATAAATAAAACAGTTCAATTAAAACTAATGCATAAATTAATTACCTTTCAGAGTCGCCACTGCTGAAAATCTCCAACTCAGTCAGTTTTACAGCTTTTGAACTAAAATGTGGTGTGATCGGTGTAGTTGTGCTAATCTGCTAATAATACCGGTGTTGTGCGAATTTCAGTTTCCCTGTGAAAATCTGTTCCCCCTAGTGGTTGACATTCGAGAGAATCTGGTCCAGACATGACGTCAGACCAAGAGAAGCGCTTCCAACACAGGGGGAACAGATTTTCACAGGGGAACTGAATTTTGTACAACACCGGAATTAGCTTCTCATTTAGATGATTAGCTATTTTTACTAATTTAGCGGACCGATTAGCTTCCGTTATTTTTAAAACCACAAAAAAAATCACAAGTGTTAAACTTCTGTTGTATTTATCCTGAATTAAACAAACAATCCCCTCTTACAAGACGTCCTAGCTGTGTGTAGCATGTAGCATCTTTAACAGCTAAACTTCAAACTAAGAGCGTCAAACTTAAATAAAATAATATTTCACACTATTTAAATGACAAATACAAAAATTTATCACATACAAAACATGGCAGAGTAAGTATTTGTTATCTGTTTGACACATTTCTAACGATATTTCTAAAAATACAAACTCAATCAAAGAAAGGATTTTATTCTGAAAGGGTTCAACTGGAAGTATCGCAAGTTAGAGAGCTTCCGGTTTAGGTTGGCCTTCATTTCTAAAACTTCCTGATGCTCTTTCGATTTCAAATAATGTTACAATCAACAAGTGAAAAATAATAAACCTAAAATGTTCTAATTTTCATTTCATTTTATTTTTTTAACAAAGTATATTTTTCAGCCTTTTGTTTTGCCACTTTAGTAGTTTTATTTTTATAGTGTCATTAAACCTAAAAATAAACCCTTAAAAGTTTGATAAAACAACTTTTATAGGATGTCATTTTGCTATCTTCAATTTAATATGTGGTTTAAATAAAATAAATAAAAAGCAGCATTCTGGTGAGTTAAATGTCATCTGTCTTTTTTGCATAATCCCCGACTTTTATAACCACAGAAGTAAAATTAAAATATGATTTAAAAAAAGAAAATTCTGGGGAGAGGTGACGAACACCTTGTTCTGTTTGCATACTGGTACACAATCTGCTCTGGGGATATTTATAAAAACTTTATTGTGCTCATGTTGTGAAACCAGCGGCGGATCTAGGATTTTTCTGAGTAAGGGGCCATCAAGAGGATACAAAATTGGAGCAGAGTATTTTTTTTTCAACATCCTTGCACACTAATCCTTGGTTTTGTTAAGGTGAATATTTTAACTAGCGTTACACATGTTCACACACTTGTAATGCAATTTTAAAAAGCTTGCATGTAAATTCTCATTATCAATTTTACATGTATTTTCCTGCGCATTAAATACTCTCAAACGCACAGCTGTGAGAAAATCCAGCCATCGTTGTTCGCTGAAATACTTTGTTTTTGCGGGATTGTTCAAATCTTCTTGAGAAGAGACTTTCCTATTTGACTCTTTAGCGCCTCTAGTGTTTGGATATGGAACTGCAACCACCATCATCGCTCTCAGGCAAAGTACAGATGATTGACAGGACAGGAGGCACCTCAGGGGGCAATACCCCTGTGACCTGGCTCCTAGAACTGCCCCTGTGTGAAACTAAAAGGAACTGAGTCCTGGTGCAGGTTTTGTACCACAACTGCCTGACCAGACCGGATCCAGCAACACAATTTATTTTTTTTACATTTCCTCCAGATTTTCTCCTACCGAGTCTAGTTTCAACAGAGGGGTCAGAGGTCAGGTGGGGTGGGGTAACCAGGTCATTTGGCTCTTCACTTATGTTCCTCAGAGTTTTCACTGCAATGAAGCCGTTTGAACTTTTAACCCCTCGGCTGTCGACAGACTGATGCTGAGAGAAGCTCAGGCAGTAATAATGACTCTGAACACACGGAAAACAAAACTATTAGTCTGTGAAAATTGTATTCATGTCAATCCAGGAAACTGTCTCGGGAGTATTCATTGTATTTTACATTTTGCTGCAAATATTAACACGAGATTCTTAATTTCATTATAATCAATACATCGACAAATATACCTAATAAGAATAAAATATGAAGGAAAACTTTTTAAATAATTCTAATACAAATTTTAAAATGTGCACATTTAATGCACATTTAACTCAATCTGAAGTGTTTTGAGAGCATTTCTGCATTAATTCGGTTATTTTTTAAGGCAATGAAGACAAATATTTTCGCAATCCAGTGTAAAGATGCTGCAGATGTGAAGTCGGTTTAGTTTCCAGAATTTAATTTAAAAATTGTTCAGATGAATCCACTACTAGGCTGAAACCTTGATTACAGGAGGTCTTCATGTTGATGTGAAACTTACTTCAAATCTCAACACAAATGTTCAGATTTACGAGTTTGTCAGTAGAAAACCTGAATTACGAAAGTGCAAACATTAAAGTTGAAATGCTAATAAACCTCATGCTAAAGGCTTTTGTTGTTATTGATCAGTTTGTACAAAAAGCTACTGATTCATTGTGACATTGTCTTCATTTCACTTCCATTAAACAATGGATGGATGGATGGATGGATGGATAAACAGTGAATCAGTTCAATAAAGACCTTTGTTCAGTTTTTATTCTCTACCTGAACTGATTGAATTTGTCAAGCAGGAGCCGAGTCAACAAATTTAAACGTTTCAAAATCAAACAATTATTTTCTGCCAGAAGTTAATTTCTTTTTCCCCACCAACCCAGAGAGAAAAACAAATTTAAATACTACGAGCGGAGCGTTCCAGTTTTGGAGGTGGGTTAGGATTCAGACGCAGGCTTCTATTCAAATATGAAGTTCTCCTTGACATTTTCTGCTCCGCAGCGGCTGCTCATCCCCGACACTTCCCTCCGAGCTGCAGACGGGAACGGCGCGACCCCGTGARATTTACAAAGTCATCTGGCTGAGAGAGATAACGTTCTAGAAGAGGAAAATTCTCCAGAACGTCCCACCGTCACGTCGGCGTGGATCGTATCAACAGATTGTTTGCAGACAAAGGAGGAGAGTTTGGAACTGCAGCGGAACGCTCAGCCACGTACAAAACCATTCAGCACTTSCTGAAAGTCCCACATTCTGGGTTCTGTTTGGGAGCCACCAGAAAGAACTCACTGAAACCGGGTCAGGTTCAAGTCCGACCCCCACCCCCGCCATGCAGGACAAGAAGCCAAGGATGCTGTGAAACATGACTCGACAGTAGCTGGGTTAAAGCAGGGCAAAGGTCACATATTGGGAAAGCAAAGCAGAAATAAAAGCGTGAAAAATCAGAGCAGTGACGTGATGTTAAAGACGAACAAAGTGCAGACAAAATCAAAACAAAATGAGATGAGTTTCTCTGTACAGAGGAGACGACTCCTTTATTTTATTAGCTGATAACAAAATCAGTTTTCAGGGATGTTACGAAGAAGCTTTGACATGAGACGTGCGGATTTAGCTTCTGCGTCTCCCAGATCTCTGGACGAACGTTTTCTCAACAGGACCGGTTGTGCGGCTTTGCTGTTAGTTGTGCGGCGTGTTGTTCAGCAGAGGTGATCTTTAGAAGTCAGGACGGTCCTTCTCCAGTTTGCTGTAGTCCGTGGTTACTGCGATGAACTGAACACAAAAACAATTTAAGATGAAATGCAAGCAGATATTTAACATTAAAAAATACAATTTAAAAAAGCATTAAGTTTGAGTTTTCTGACTTTTTATGTATTTATTTTTTAGAAAACAACAATCCCACCTTTCAGTGTTTCAATATGTTTACCACAAAACAAAAACACAAAAAATTTATTACTTGTCTTAAAGGAAACTTTATTTTAGTCCAAGCTTAGACAGATCATGTATTTAACAGATCTGGTCAGCATTAACTTAATTACGCACTTTAATTAATCCTGTTAAAGACAACACCTCTGGCAATGATCCATAAACCAGCTACACTCTAAGACTCCACAACCACTGGTGGTTTTAAAGCACAAATCATTCAAGTTAGTCTCATTTCTAATGTCGTGATTTAAAAAAAATAAATCACCTTGTACTGATGATTCGGACCCAGTTTGTTCCAGGGCTCGGGGTTCTTGTGATCCCAACTGCAGGGAGGAACGAGAGTTATTACCCAGGAAATGTATTAGTTTTACTTTAAACATCTTGCATGTTCAGTTTGGACRTAAAGCTCTCACCACACATCGGGGTTTCTCAAACCCAGACGAGCCAGGTACAGCGTGGACATGGTCATTCCTGCCCCGATGAAGACGAAAAGGGGGATCAGCTGAAAGAGAAGGAGACAGAAATCTTCATTAGCCTCAAAACTAAAGTGAAAAGAGGGTTGCTTCTTTAACCCCAACAACGAGTTTACTAATGGCACTACTGCAGTGTGACATTAAACATTTACACACAACCTTTAGTGTTTGCCCTTGAGAATTGCATGTGTCTGCGTTAAGACGGGTCTATTTTTAAACCAACCGCTTGTCCCAAATACAGTATAGTATCAGTAACCACTTATCCATACAACATTAACCAAACATCGTCTTTTAAAAGACAGTCATGCTAAATTTCACCCTTTACTCAACGAACCCCCTGTACCTTAAAAGTAGCAGGTGCTAGCTTAGCAGCTAAATCATGTTTTACACTTCAATTTCAATTTCAAAACACGAACCGTGTGATGTTACTAATAAACACAGGTGTCTTAGACCGATCACGTGACCTTTACCAAAGCTAACGCTGCTAACTAGTCGCGCTAAGCTACGTTAGCCGAAGGACTTCCAGACGATCATTTTTAACAAAAATCAGCGAACAAAGAAATAAACCTCATTTTTACTTACAGCTGGATGGGTTCGTAGCTGTTTGCGGACCACAGCGAGCATTCTGACGCCTGAAGAGGCTGATTTATTTTCAGTTTAAAAAAACAAGCGGATTCTCCAAAACAGCACTCTTTAATAAACTGCGAGGCTGGCGAAGGACAGGCGAAGAAACGCGTGTTAGGACCTCACGCATATTGCCTGAAAAATATTTGATCGAAAATGTTTTCTTTAAATGTTACAGACATTACATGAAGAAATAATTCATCATAAATGTAATAAATACAAAATATTTTAGTGTTGTTTTATCGTTGTATTTTTTCTACTTCAATTTTTTTTATTTTGGTACAGCATTTTACTCTGGCAAAACTAGTAGTTAAACCCAGGTTTCCACCTTAATCATACGTCAAAATTGAACATTAAAAACATTTTTTATTGTTTGTTAAATAACCTTTTATCGCTCACAACTACGATTTTTTTGTCTGGTTTTCTACACTGTAAAGGCAACGTAAAGCTACATTAACATGTTGTCACATAGTTACAGCTTTATAACTACGATTTTGACATTTCAAATGATGTAAATCATGTCCTGATGCATCTCAGTAATCCAGGTAAAAAAAATAAAAAATAAAAAAATTGTATAGGTCTCATGGACGGGTTCTTCTCTAATGAAACGTTTAGTCTCTCCAAGAGACTTCTTCAGTCTGAGAGTTTCAGGCAAAATTCAGGCTTTTAAGCCCTGCCTCCATGTGACTGATACTCACATCACATGGCTATCGTTGACACCTAATTAACACCTATTGTTAACAGGAGGTGGAGTGATACTGGCAATAGCAGCACTGTAAGAGGGGGACAACTGAAAACAGAGGCCTCCACCTCTGTTTAATGATGGACGGTCMTTCTTCCCAGACCCAAACCAGTGGTTATTCCGTATGTTGCGGGTGTTTCGGAGAAACTGAGATGTTTATTTTCTAAACATGATGTCCCAGTYGCTTTCAAACCCCAAAACACATTACGGCAAAGGCTGGTTCACCCCTAAGATCCGGTGCTGCGGCACAAACAGAGCAATGTTGTATATGCTGTTAAGTGCCAGGAGGACTGCGACCAGTTATACATCGGGGAAACAAAGCAGCCACTGTTCAAAAGAATGTCCCAACACAGACGAGCTACATCTAATGGCCAGAACTCTGCAGTTTTCACTCATTTACAGGCCAGCGGTCACTCTTTCAGAGATGAGGATGTTCTCATTCTTGATAGAGAGGAACGWTGGTTTGAGAGAGGAGTAAAAGAAGCCATTTTTGTGAAGAAAGACCGTCCATCATTAAACAGAGGTGGAGGCCTCCGTTTTCAGTTGTCCCCCTCCTACAGTGCTGCTATTGCCAGTATCACTCCACCCCCTGTTAACAATAGGTGTTAATTAGGTGTCAACGATAGCCATGTGATGCGAGTATCAGTCACATGGAGGCAGGGCTTAAAAGCCTGAATTTTGCCTGAAACTCTCAGACTGAAGAAGTCTCTTGGAGGAGAGACGAAACGTTTCATTAGAGAAGAACCRGTCCAGAAGACCRATACAATTTTTTTCTTTTTGATGTAAATCATCTATATTAATTCATTTGTGGTCAAAGTGACATAGCTGGTATTTTATATTTGAGTGTTTTGTGCAAAGCCCTGAGACATTTTTTGTGAGTTGGTGCTACATAAATAAATTTATTTGAACACCTGGTTAATACTCCAAGGGATGAGAATCAAACTTGATTTAAAGTTGCAAGTGTAAAAAAAGTTAATTAAAAAAATACCAACCACCACAGAATTTAAGAAGTTCTCCTTTATGGCAAGTTATTTTCAACTTGTACAAAATAAAAATAGAAATAATTCAATATTGGGCATGACAGGCTACAAAGAGTTTACATGTTTAAAAACATCTTTGATGTTTTATAGATAGTAAACAACATATGATAATGACTATTCAAGCATTGATCTGTTAAATGTTCGTGTTCAGTTTGATGCTTGAAACGTTTCTTAGGCCTAGTTTGGTTCAACATTTATCTCAAGTCACATGAGCTGGTTTCAGTCAAGTTTTTTTTTCCTGTTTTACTAACTAAATTCCATTTTTCCATCATGGTATTTATTCATACCGATTCCTCCACATACATGTAAAAGTTTTGTTGCTGTTTTTTTACATAAAAGACTCATTACAGTTCATTCTGGGTTTTAACCGATGTAAACACATCTTTTCAGTTCATCAACAGCAAGTCCGAGTTGAAACTATGACAACTCTCATATATATAATTAAACATCCGACCTTACTTAAACAAAACATAGGCACATACAGTTTTCTGTACAGGATATCTTCTATAAAATTAAAAAAAAAAAAACAATACAGGTTATAGAGGATCATAATTGATGCTCTTGTGCTCTCTGGGGGGTTTTAGTGTGTCGTCTTCTTGGGAGCTTTGCCAAATTTAGCATCCAAACCAAGACCTGGAGAAATAAAATTGAAGATGTGAACAAATGCTCTGCAGATGCTTTTAAACAAGAACATTTACAAAAGTCTCACCGAGGAACACCAGGACSGTCCCGATCCACTGCATCCCACTCATGACGTTACCAAACAGGATGACCGAGCCAAGGATGGTGAAGAATTTCCTGGTAGTGGTGACAATGGAGCAGGTCAGGGGTCCGAAGTACACCACCGTCATAAAGATGAAGGTCTGGGGGGGCGACAAGAAAATTTAATTTTTGGAAAGTATTTCTTTCAAAACATTAAACACAAGACTGCCTTTTCTTTCTAAACAGCTAAAAAATGATCCAATCAGCCCTTTCTCTAACACCCACCTGACCCAAAGCGCTGGTCAGACCAAACAGAAGAATATTGTAGAAGATGCTGGGGTGGCGCTCGGTAAAAGTCAGGAACTGCCACACTTCTCCGGTCCACAGCACCGCTGAGGGCGGAGGAGGCATAAAATCAATGTCATTAAAAAGAAGAAAAAAAAAACATTATTGATCCTTTTGTCACTTCTTAATTTAAAAAAGTGATGAGGAAKTTCAGATTCACTCATAAACTAAGTGTGCAGCTCCCTCTAGTGGTTTCATTTGGTAATAATAGTCTGAGACAAAAATGGACAAACAAAAAATAATTAACACATTATCAAAAAGTGCTGCTTCATGCAAAAAATAACATTATTTAAAACTCAATCACTTTATAAACACCTATCATCTTAGTTTGATCAATTTATTTACAGGAATCTACAGGAAAGGGAGACAGACGTCATCATTTCTGGTCATTCAATAATTTCCAAAAAAAAAAAGAAACTTATCCACATCCTAACTTCACTAAAATGCAGCGAAAACAGACATTAATTAAAGATGTAAACTGACTCAGAGACAGCATACAGAGCTGCTTCGTCAGTTTTAAAAGTAACAACCTCGCATTTGACCTTTAGATCTTTAACTTCAGCCCATTAGTGCCAAACTTTAAGAAGCAACATCATTAAAAGTGTTTGTTTAATGTGTGCTGCTCTTCAACAAACTTACAGTCGTGTCCTCACAGAACCGGGCCTTTGATGTGCAGGATTTCTTACCCATAAAGATAAAACTCAACACTTTCCCTGCAGAGTTAATGAGTTTTGGCTGGACGGGAAATTGGGCTCATTTTCTGCATTACGTTCTGCTGCTTTTGGTTTTTGTTTTTATTTATATAAATGCCCATTAGCTCCTGCATCAAAGCAGATATTTAGTGAAGGGCTGTTTGAAGCTGAAGCTCTGGTGCCCACATAAATATTAAGAAAAAAAAAAGTATCAGAAGCGCTGACTTACCTAGACCCAGAATCAGAATGGACCACATGTTGATGTTCAGCATCATGTGGTTGGCGCTCGTCTGGAAGCGGGCTCTCATGTGGTCCTGGGCCACACCAGTCAGGCCATCCAGCGTCAGAGAGACTAACTGCGGCATAATTAAACAAACAAGATCAAATAAAACCTGAGAGAGAAGTCGCAGCGACCTGGAGGACACGAGGAAGATAAAAGAAGCAACGAGACGCGAGTAAAAACTGTAAACTCACAAGCAGAATCTCCCCAAAGCCAAAAATATGGTCATCCATCACAGCTGAGCTATTGTTGGGTTTGTAGAGGAACAACGCAACACCGCTGACAATAAGCAGCACACACAGGTACTTAGCCAGAGGGTAGTTCTTCCTCAGTATCGTTACACCCAGAATCATCACTACGAAGACGAGAAAACAATGAAAAGATTTACTTGGACACKGAATCAGGTCTTTGACCTTAAAATGAAACATATCTTAATGTAGGTTTCTGCTTTGAAACTAAATAAAAGCTACAACGATAACATACAACCTTTAAAAAGACAAACTATGATGTGTAAAATGGTTTTTAAAACTTCATTAGCTTGAACCAATATTTTAAAAGGAGTGCTTTCACAGCTTCAAAGYCACCAGCATCATTGTTTGACCACCAAAACAGTTCATGGATTCTAAAAAACTCAAACTGGAGCTGCTCACTGAAATAAAAGCTGGAGTTTGTTTCTGCAATCAGGTACACACTTGAGTGAATAAGAGTTTTGCAACCATAACACCCCATTAGAATAAGTAGTGTGTGATTTATAACTACKTATTCACACATGAAATGAACTATCCATCAGCTAATCTCCTACTTGTATTATTTCTATCAGCTTATAAACCCATAAACATGACATGGAGGTGAAAAACAAAACAAGCAAAATATGATCAGGTTTACCTGGAATTGGCTTGCAGGATTTGCCCAACACCTATTGCAACAAAAACACTTCTTTTAMGAGTGTGCACAAATACTGGTGATACAAAATGTGCATCAGCCTAAAGGAATAAAACTATTTAAAAAGGGCAGAAACTCACCTGTGTGGGGTAGTTGACGTACAGAAGGGCCGAGTTGCTGGACACCATGGCTCCGAGATAAGAGAGGGAACACAAGCCGTAGATCCAACTCTTGGTGTGATCTGGTTTSGAACCCTCAAAACACTGGATTACTAGTTAATACAAGAAAAACAATATTAAACAAAAACATAAAAAAGGTGAAGTTCARGTCACATGTTGCCCATTTGATTCCAGATCTTCAGAACATAAAGTTTAGATCGATCTTTGTCTCATGAACTAATGTTTTGGGTTTTTTTTTTTTTAATCATTAAGCACATACTTACAGATCCTAGCAAAAATAGCGTTGATGATGCACTGGATGAACACCAGTGTTCGTGCAAATGTGAACTTCTCTCCTCCATAATCACCCCGAGTGCTGCAAAGGTCAGACATAAACCCACAGCTGCTTTCACCAACATTTAAATGAACATGTAAACATACAATGACCATGTGTGAGCACTAACAATATAAAAGGCAGCTTTACTGCAGACACCCTTTGAAATCTGATCTATAACCAGTTTTAGAAACGTCCAACATGCCCTCTGTGTGTCTGACAAAGGATTTGACAGCTGACATTTCATGTTTTGTTTGTTCAACTTCAAAGAAATTATCACTTTATTATTAGAGTTTATTTTGTACAAGACAGAACTAGTGTCGATGTTTGGCTACTTACATTGTCTCTTGTAGGATTCCGTAATAAAAATAACAGACAAAGACTCCAAGAAAGCAAACGATGAACCTTAACCGCATATTGTCCCACAGCGAGGCGGGCTTCCCGGCTCCCTTTCCTGTAGCCATGCCGTCCTCCGCCGGCCCGGGTACGTTCAGCAGCACCGCTCCGCTCCCGGCTCCTCTCACACCGGCGTCCCGCTCCACTATAGCCGATGTCCCGAGCCCKGTCAGTGCTCACGTTTCCACGCTAACTTCAGTTCGGCCCACCAGCTTTTTATTGTTGTTGAAGGCTCTTTGCATTGACGAACGACCGGCTAGCTCAAAAGTCGGAGTCTAAAATCGGATTAACAGCAGCAAAAATAGACGACATTGTTCGCGAATATTTTTATGCGACTGACAAATATTTATTTTATCCGATCAAAGACATTCAAACCATAGCTGCGTAGAAATGAATGAGCAGTAATTGTTTTGGTTAAGTATTTATGTATCAGGCGAAAAAAAATATCCCGGCAGGAGGAAAAAAAATCGTCTGAAGAAGGACCTCGGAGTGTTCTAAAATATGCCTGAATATTTATCTTACTTAAAAAAAGAAAACGTTGATTATAAATTTGTACTTATGTGTTTCTTATCATTTAAATAATTCTAATAGCTAAACTTAACACGATATTAACGTTGTGATAATTCTTAAAAGTTTTTATACGCTATGATACGTCTCACTGAATTGCTGGTAAAACACAAGGTCCTTCCTAAAAATTGTCGCGTGCCATTTTTTACGTCTTGGTATGTGGATTAAATTCATTGGTCCATGTATGGCTYGAGGAGGCAGGAACGACCAATCACAAAGCACACTTTTGAGAAGGGGCGGTGCTTACATTTAAAACCTCTCAAATCCACGTGTCAAAGCCAGGCATCAGCAGACAGGTGACAACTACTATAAAGGCTTTGTATTGAAAGAAAAATATTCATCATTACCTAAATATGTTCATGTTGGTCAGGTTTTAAATCCACATTGCATACAACAATCCAACAAATTTTGTATTCTATGCATTTTTAATGATAACAAAAACAGATTTGAGTAACACTTTGTAATCTGAACCAGAGTGTAAAACACACACACACACACACACACAAATAATAATAATTACTGGAGTGACCCACGTAAAAATTTAGAAAACAGCTTAGTTGTCATTGTTATTATATGCAAGTAAAGCTTTACTGCAACCCAAAAGATTGCTTGTTTTGGAAATATAACAGCAACTCCATACAATATTACAAAAATAAATATCTGCCTAACATTTGTAGGAAATTTGAGTACCACAAACTAGTTGCCAAAATATAACTTTTCAATGAACAGATTTAAAAAGAAATATAACATTAACTTTATTTTTCTAATGTCTTAAGCCTCTAACATTAGGCTAAATCTGATTGATAATGATAGCACTTTTTGTCAGACTGATGACTTGTATAAAGCTACAACAATGGTGTCTTTGTTACAAAAAAGTCAACTTAGTTATTCCAACACTTTCTGTATTCTTCAGTCTATGACTCATACTGGGGGACAGTGGCACAGAATAAGTGCTGATGAAGTTTAAATGAGTTGCATCAAATCATCCTGAAGACAGATTTTAACCCAGAGACARCTGTTATCACAGGCACTGTTCATTGTCATTTTATAGAAAAAAAAATATCCCAAGTCTTGCAGGTCCTGGCAGCACGGCTCTGACATCAACCTACTGCATGCCCAGGTGCCTGGAAGGAGAGGCCTGATCGGAGCAGCCGGTGACGGGCGACACTGACAGGCCCCGGAAGAGGAGGTCCATGGAGGGCAGCAGAGGTTTCAGGAGGCTGACGGGGCAGAAAGCAGAGCCTCCATGTGGGGTAAAGTTGACCTTATTTGGGTCTGGGCAGGACGGCTGCAGGGGATGTTCATCCTGACACGCAGACCTGGAGATAAAAAGTTTTATTTCATTATTAGGGACCCACCAAAGCTGCAGCCACATTAACGCGCAGCCGTTCGTTCCTTACATGGTTTCCTCGCAGACCTGGATGCGCTCGCAGCCTTCTGGCGGCTCGCGCTGGAAGGAGAAGGTTTTGTTGGGACGAGGGGAGGACGAGCAGGGCTGCATCAGAGGAAGTTCCAGCGCAAATGACGGGAGGGACGTTGTTGGAGACCGGCACAAAGTCTCGCAGTCCACGAGTTCTGCACGGCACAAACACAGAAACAGGAAGTGTGGCGAGGACGTAAAGACGCAGCTTTGCTACAGAAGGTTAAAACCCGGCAGCTGTCTGACCTGCCTCTCCCATGGGACAGGGCGACTGAGAGGGAGACAGGAGCGACGAACTCAGAGGAAGAGGGGAACTCGAAGGAGACGCGAGCGACGAGTCGAGAGGGCAAGGAGACTGAGAGGGAGAGAGGAGAGAAGGGTCCAAGGGTCCCGGTGAGGGCTCGCTCTGAGAGCCACTGCTGCACCTCTGAAGGGGGACGGGAGCCCTGCGGCCGTCTGGGATGTCTAAAATCTTACATATTCAGGAAAAAAAATGTTACAATGAAGGCTGATTTTTATTTTGTTAAACTTTACGATGAAATAAATTAACATTGGCCTAAAAAAACACAACCCTGTGATCATATTTCACAAAAAACCTCTGTGAGAAGCCATCTGTTTTCCTAACAGTAACAGATTGTGAAACATGAAAGTGCATCTCATTCTACCGGAGTGAATCAGTTTTTATGGCTGTTTGAACGGATTATTGGGAGGTATTATTCAGACTTTAGCGCAGTGATCTAACCTCGTGCTGATCGTCTGGTTTCTCAGACACAAACACTTCCTCCAGCTCCAAACTGAGACCCTCAACYCTCCGTCGTAGCCTCGGGGCCAGTCTGTTCAGAGGCATCATGGGTAACGTCTGCAGGAAGACAAGTGAAATACAGGCATGGTTACGAGACTCTGTGTGTCTGAAAACAGTGTGGTTTGATGGTTAAACAGGATAAACTCATAGTTTATAAGGATCTGAGACAGAGAGGCTGCAACAGTTTGATGATAGCAAAAWATGTCCAAAAGGTTTGATTTTTCTTTGATGCCATGTTGGATAAAATGTTGTTTTTACAGTGTAAAATATAAGGTTTTAGCATTATCTATAGTCTGATTCTGGACGATGATGGACAATACTATTTAATAACATTGTGATTTTATGCAAATTTTATATTCAAAAATGTAGATTCTTGAAAACAAGTCCCATTTTTTGTGCATTTTATAATGAATTTCTCCTCTTTAAGACTGTCAAATGTATAAAAAACAAAAATGCCATGAAATCTCTAGCTTAATAGAATTTAATTTGAACACAAATCCTCAGCCCTTTCAACAGCAGAATTTAAACAAAATCAGATGATGCTGTTTTTTTTTTTGTTTGTTTCATTTTCTGACTGTTTCTTGTCTGTCAAGCAACCATTTCAAATTATCATTTCCTTGCCATATTGTTTGTATATAACAGTGTTGTATAAAGCAGAGGTTCCCAAACCTTTTGTCTTCTGACCCACAAAATATCCACGGCAAAATCTTGTGACCCCAAATATTACTGGTCTGAGTACACAAACTTCGTTAATAACCTTAAAAAACACAGGTTTTTTGACAATCTAAACAGCTTGTACACAAATATAAATACTTATTTTTACTTAGTTTGTGTTTTTGTAATACATATAGGGGAAAATATTACATCAGCAATTATTTTATTACCCTTTATACTGATTTCTGGAGATTATCCAAGGTGCTTCATGACCCATAATTGGGTCCCAAGCCCAACTTTGGGAACCAAAGTGCAGCTTTTGACCCACAAAATAACAGTAACAGAGACCTGAGCCCCCAGCTAGTTTTGGATAATAAACATTTGTATCAGGTCAACAAAACATGGACATAGTAACAATATTTTTATACTACATTTATCCATTTTAAATATAGTAACCTCACTCATTTGTAACAACTAAGGCAAAAATGTAATTAATTCAGAAAATCTTTTCAGGACACCAC